CAGGAGAGCAGTGGCTTGCCCTGGTTCATAGAGAAAGTTAGTGGGATTTAAGAATCCAGGATTTAAGAATCCAAGTCTCTTCTAGGCCCACCTATCCAGTATGATGGGGGGGAGGGGGGGGTCATCACAGTGGCCCCTGGCCCAAAGAGTTCTCTCTCACTTACCTGGAAAGGTGAATGACATTCCACCATTAGCACAGAAGCACAGGTGTTGGGAATGACCTTGGAAGTCATTTTTTCTGTGGGTTCAGAATTGCCCTCTCAACCTGTTTGTTCTCCTGAGGGCAATTTTCTAATGTAAAGATTGCATTGCCAGTCATTTACACCTTAGTGTACCTGAAATGATCAGATCTTTTCTGAAACAGGGTTTAAAGCAGTGAGAATTTGAGTGGGAAGAGGGCTAAGCAAGGTTCAGAGTAGGCCTGGCCACCTGTGGGCCCTTGGAAAGGGAGAAGATGGGAGGGAGGCCACATTGTACAATGTTGTGTGAGACAGAACCTGAGGATGGGGATGGTAACCTGGGGTCAATCCTTACCATCATTGGCTAAGAGCACAGCTCTGTTCACCAGGATTTCCAGGGCTTCCCACAGCAACAAACTCGAGTGGTGGGTGGGTTCCAGGTGCAGGAGACCTTGCAGGACAGAGAGTAGTTGGACTGAGATGGGGGAGCAGCTCACCTGGAAGTCAAGAGAAGGACCTGTGGTCAGAATCATCGCCAGCCCCCTTCCTCATGTTTCCTCCTCCCCTCCTCCTCATGGTGTGCTCCAGCCTGGGGCCAACCAGGCCTGTTCCTTAGGCCATGTCCAAGGACTAATGGTTCAGAGGTTCAGATTACCATGTTCTACCTTTGCCTCAGTGTCTCCCCAACTCAAGCCCTGACCAAAGCCATAGAATCCTAGAATCTCAGAGCTGAAAGGGACTCAGAAATCTCTTATCCAACCTCTCCCCTAAGAGCAGGATTCTCCTTTGTAATTCCTGACAGGATCACCTAACATCTGCTTAAATATTGATCATGACAGGGAACTCATTACCTCACTAAATAGTCTATTTTATTGTTAGGCATCTGTAAATAGAAAAATTTTCCCCTCATATTGAGCTTAAATTTGTCTCCTTTTAATTTCCCCATCTCACTCCTAGGTCTGCCCTCTGGGACGAAGTAAAACAAGTCTTTCTTCCAAATGTCAGCCCTTCCAATCTGAAGGCCTTTCTTTGTATCCCCAGCACAGAATCTGGGACATAGTATATGTTTATGAAATGCTTATTGACTAATGGTGATGAACAATGTGATTTAGTAGAACATTCGCTGTATTAGGACTGTGAGAGAGTTGAATTTGATTACCAGATCTGCCATTAACAAACTGTGTGACCTTACCCAAATGGACGTAGGATCTTCCTTTCTAGGCTCAGTTTCTTCATGCATGAAATAAGTTTTTTGGGCTAAATAATCTTTAAGGCCCCTCTTAGCCCTAACATCCATCCTATGTTCTAAGATTCCTTCAATGAATCTTTCATTTCCCAAAGGCCTTCTTTTCCAGGCTCAAAGTCCCTAGCTGATCCTCTTATGTCCTAGTATTTATCTCTCTTCCTATGTCAGTTCTCCTTTAAGAAACATTCCAGTTTTTCCAAGGCCTTCTTAAAACATAGTGACCAGAACTGGTTAGCATTTACACAATTTGCCCATTCTCTGGCTATGGTCTGACCAGAGTAGCAGGCATTGAGGATATTATCTCCCTTATTCTAGACATTAAATTTGTACCAATTCAGTCTTTTTCCACATTTCACCACCATCTCATTCAAAGGTCATTCCCAAGATTTAGAGCTGAAGGGACCTTCTAGATTATTTCATCCTGTCCTCTCTTCCCCTCCCCTCACTTCCAGTTTTATAAGTGAGGTTATTGAAGCTCAGGGAAGCTGACTTGTCCAAAGTCACACAAACTCAGAGTTGGGATTTGAATACCAGTCTTCTAACTCTGAGATACCTAGGTGGTATAGTAGATAGAGTGCCAAGCCTGAAGTCAGAAAGACTCAACTTACTGAGTTCAAATCTAGCTTCAGATATTTACTAGCTATGTGACTCTGGGCAAATCACTTAACCCTGTTTGCCTCAGTTTCCTCATCTGTAAAGTGAGTTGGAGAAGGAAATGGCAAGCCACTTCAGTATCTCGGCCAAGAAAACCTCAAATGGAGTCATGAAGAGTTGGATATGACTGAAAAATGACTGAACTTCTAATTCTGTATGGAGTATTCCTCCCCTTTTCCCTACACTAATTCCCCTTTATCTTTAGCTATATCTCATTATCTGGAGCAAAGGCTGCCTCCTTCCCTTGCATTTCCCCTGACCTTATTAAACAGAGTGGAGAAGACTTCCTGGTGATTGCTCATGTCAATCCCATCAAAGATTCTGAGCAGCTCCTCATCATCCTCTGACTTGGCCTCCTCAAAGGTCTCACACTGGATCAGGAGATCCAAATCTTCAATGTCTCTGCAGCAGTAGAATTGAGATAGGAGGGTAAGTATATGATGGGGGGACAGGGGAGTAGGAGAGGGAGAGAGCTCTGCTGCCCACCTCTAACCCATCCACCCAAGGACAGGATGTTGGCACTACCACTACTCTGAGCAACCATTTCCTTCCCAGCAACCGAAAAGATCCTAGTATCAGTAACTCCACACATGTATCATACAGGGGTGGGAAAAAGCCCAGGCCTCCCCTGGCTGGTCCAGTTTGGGAGCATTGCAGGACAGCCTGATGCCAATTTACTGCTGCCCAGGCATTCAGTAGCCAGTGAGAACAATTAGCTCTCATATATATAGGAGCTCAGGAGATGGGGCCTCTCCCAGGGAGATAGAGACGCAAACAAGGCCAGAGAGGGGCTGAGCCCCAAAGTCCACAAAAATCCAGGTTTGATGTCTTGCTGCTATCAGGGTCACAGGACATTTGTGTGGTCATTTGTGTACATTCTCTCCATGCCGTGAGATTACATGTTCCTATCTTTTGAGTCCCCAGGGCTGTATATGGAGGAGGAGGTGCTAAATAAATGTATAAATGTTTGTTGAATCAAATTGTATCCCTGTCCTATTTCCAAGCAGAAGTTAAACTATGAGGGCTAAGTCTATGTCCTCCCAGTCTCTTCCCCTTGCCTCTTGACCTTTGCATAATAGATGTTCGAGAAAGACCAACTTTCTTGGTCTCTGGGATTGTTTTGGGTTGGACTCCTGTCTTTTTCAAACACAATCCTTCGAATGTTGATTGCTAGAAGCCTACATGGGTCCATCAAGCACAGGCCATAGCAGAGTAACCTTATTGCCTTTTTTGACTTAGACTGGTAGACCAAGGAACACTCGAGGCATAGAATATCTGAATGTTGGCAAAGCATTTCCCCAAGTCTCTCATCGAGGGGACAAAATAGGGGCAGCTAGTGCACAGTGGATAGAGTACCGGCCCTAGAGTCAGGAGGACCAGAGTTCAAATCCGGCCTCAGACACTTGATACTTACTAGCTGTGTGACCCTGGGAGAGTCACTTAACCCCAATTGCCTCACAAAAACAAACAAAATGAAGAGATATCATCTAGATGGTAGTACAGTCATATGGATTTGAACCTGGTTGATCAACAAGAACCAAAGAGTTATGATTAATGATCTAACATCAAACCAGAAAGAGGTCAGTCAGGGAGTCAACAGAGTCCCTTGGCCCTGTGCTATGCTGTTATCAGTATCCCAGATCTGTTAGCATTTTCCAATTATACAAAGCAGGGAGAGATTTCTAACGACGTGTTGAATGTTAGCATTGAACCCCAAAGCTATAATGATGGGTCAAATCTAATAATATTACATTTAACAAGGGACAATGTCAACGAATTCCTACTCCTCGATTGAAAAAAAAAATCAGTGCTAATAATAGGATGGAGGAGGTCTGGCTAGACGATTATTTGTATGAAAAAAAGACCTGGGAGTTTTAATGGACCACAAGCTTAACAGCATGACATGACATTTATCTGAGTCTGTATGAATAGAGGAACAGCGTGTCCAAGGTAAAAGAGGTGATCATTTTGCTGTCCCCTTGTCATACTATATCTACACTACAGAGTTCAGTCAGGATGAAAACAAACCAGAGTGGGCTTGCAGGTGAATGAAGGCAAACAGGATGAGGAAGCAAATGGGGATCAAGATGTATGAGACCCAAAACCCAACTGAAGGAACTGAGAACATTTAGCCTGGGGAAGAGAAGACTTAGAGAACTGGCTTCAAGTGTTTGGAGGCTGTCTGGTGCAAGGGGGATTCACCTTCTTCAGATCAGCTCCACAGGGCACAACTGAGAATGCCAGACAAAAGCTGCATCAGGAGGCGGGTTTCAGTTTGGTAGAAGGAAAAATATCCTCTCAGTAAGAGCCATTCAAAAATAGAGTGTCTGGGTTATAAACCCTAAATTTCAAGGAACAGCTGCATCACAGGATTACAGATTCAGAGCTGTGCGGGACCCTCCAGGCCACAAAGTCCGACTCCTTCAGTTCCCAAATGAGCAAAGTGAGGCTCGGAGATGTTAAATGACTTGTCCAGAGCTGCACAGCTGAGGCAGGATTCAAACTTGGGTCTTCTTCGATGGTTCCTTCCCTCTGGTGATCACCCCCAATTTATCCCATTTGCATCTTGTTTGTACATACTGATTTGCTAATTGTCTAATTAGCTAATTGTCTCCCTCAGTAGACTGTGAGCTCTTTGAGGGCTTTGTATCCTCAGAGTTTAGCATAGTTCTGGGAATGTATTAATAGACTTTTTTTTTTTTTAGGCAGTTGAGGTTAAGTGACTTGCCCAGGGTCACACAGCTAGTAAGTGTCAAGTATTTGGTCTGAAGCCGGATTTGAACTCAGGTCCTCCTGACCTCAGGCCGGTGCTATATCCACTGTGTCACCTAACTGTCCCCTATTAATAGACATTTAAAAGATGTTGGTTGACTTCATGGCTTCAAAGGCAGGGCTCTATCCACAGTGCCACCTGCTTGCCTAAGGAAACATGGTTAAATGCCACTGAGTAAGTGGCACTATTATATCCGTATATGACCAAAAGTCACTAGAACCTCTTCTGTCCTTCTCAAGAGGAATACTAACTTTCTCTCTTTCCCCACATGACTACCTGTAGGCAGGGATACGCTGGAGCCAGTTCCAAATGGCTCAAGAGACCCAACTGTTAAATTTTCATTTGGAGTATTTACACCTTGGAAAGTGACAAATGCTTCAAATCAGTGTTTGATTTATTGTTTTGATTGTCTAGACGTAAGAAAGTGATGGATAAATTATTACTAATACAGATTAAGCTTTAAAAATGTGTCATCAGTGCATCCCTCCTTCCTCCAAGCTGGGTTGTTAAATATTTACCAACACACCCTTGCATGAAGAGGACAATAGAGGGATTTCATGAGGTGGCACAGAAACCTCTGAAGCCATTTCCAAGAGATTCTGACTCCATTCCAGTGAAGCCAAGTGAGAGGGACCCTATAATTAGGTGATTTAAGACTATGACTAATCCATACAATAACTCAATTCAGATGGGGAGTCTGCACTGCCATGATGTCAAGACTGAATCATCACTAAGGATAGTGGCAGAAGATGGACAGGCATGGATGGGTTGTGAACCTACATGGCTGGAGGGAACATTCACAAGGATTAAGTCACAGATCCTTCTAAGATGACATTTACTCTTTTACTCCCCATCCAGTGGGTTCAACACATAATGGTTGGCTTGAGGTATAGCACAAACAGGAGTGCATTGGAGATGGCTCCTACCATCTCTTAAAGCCAAATCTTAAATTTTAAGTATGAACATTTGCACCTAGGAAATGAGCAAATGTTACAAATCAAGATTTGATTTCTCTTCTTTTGGGGGGGGGCGTTTAGGCAATGGGGTTAAGTGACTTGCCAAGGGTCACACAGCTAGTAAGTGTTATGTGTCTGAGGCTGGATTTGAACTCAGGTCCTCCTGAATCCAAGGCTGGTGCTCTATCCTAGCTGCCCCTGGGATTTGATTTCTCAAGGCAGCTAGGTGGCCCAAAACCTGAGTTTGAATCTGGCCTCAGATGCTTACTGGCCATGTGACTTTGGGCAAGTTGTTTTTTACTGCTTTTTGCTTCAATTTCCTCAACTGTAAAACGTGGGCAGTAATAGCATCTACCTCCTAAGGTTGTTCTGAGGATCAAATAAAATAATATTTTATTTGTGCTTAGCACAGTGCCTGGCACATACTAAGCTCTATATAAATGTTAGCTATTATTATTGTTGTTGTTTTATTGATTGTCTAGACTTAAGAAAGTGGTGGAGAACATGTTAATAATGGAGATTAAAATTAAAAATGTGTTGGAGAGCCAGTTGTTAAACATTTGCTACTAAACCCCTGAATGAGGGATTCTAGTTAGAAAATACTTCCTAATAGCAAGGATTGTTCTGAATGATGACCAAAGGTAGTGTGGTGCAGAAGAAAAAGCATTGCATTTTACAGTCTGAGGACTTGGCTTGAAATCCAAGTTCTGCTACTTATTAGCATGTGTATGACCTCAGATAAATCACTTCCTTCTCTAGTTCTCAGTTTCCTCGTTTATAAAAAGAGAGGGTTGGATTTGCTTTCCAAGATCCCTTTCTTTATATTCCAGTTCTAAATGTCTGATCCTATTATTCCTGACTTGTGATGGGATGCAAGGCTGAGAATGACAGGATGCCCCCTGCTGGAGAGACAAGGAAGAACTGTACAAAGACTGCTAGAATACTTGGTGCATATAGGTTCAGTACTGATATAGCTTCATTGTCTATGGTACCTATGAAGATAGACACTGTCTGCATCCAGAGAAAGAACTGATAAATAGAAGTATGTGTAGAATAATTTTACATATATATATATATACATATATATATCTATATATCTATTTGTGTCTAACTGTGGCCATCTCTAGGGTGGGGGGAGGGAAGAAAAAAAAGAAATTTACATGATAATTTTGTCATATTATTTGGAAGGAATAGCAAGTTGGGCATAGTAGATTTGCAGCTTTATGTGCAATTATCTTTTTTATTGTACTATGTTATGGAAACGCTTGTTTTATTCCATAAATAAAAACCCCTGAGAGGGGTTTTGCACTGAAAGCAGTTTTGGAAGGGGGTGGATGAGAAGGGGATGGGGCAAGAAGAAAACCTGGAGGGCATTTGGGGACACACACTTAAATATGAAAGTGAATTGGGCTGGGGTTAGGAAGAGGGGTCAGGGATGGGGAAAACGGGAACCTTACCTTAGTTTGGTTAAAACATCCAGCAACTGGAGACCTGGGAAAATCAAACCAAAAGCAATTTTTGCACTTGTTATCTTAGATAGGTCAGTGATGATCATTGGTTAAGGAGTGTATTATCTTGCCTTGGCAGAGCTACACCATAGATGAACACTGCTCTATCTTTATTTAATTGCTGTGAGAGGTGGTAGGGAGGAAGGTGAGGAAAGTTATTCTGGGTTTGACAGATAAGGAAAATGATGCCCAAGGAAGGGAAAGAATAGCAGCAAGCTAAGGACAAAGACAAGACCTGAGCCTAGTCTCCTGACCCCTAACTCCTGGCGTGTGGGTAGGGGGACTCCCAGTCTTTCCACTGCTCCACGTAACTATTAAAACTGCAAACCAAAAACAACCTTAGGTAGTTCCCTCCAACCCACAATCCCCAGGTCACCACCTTCTCAGAAGATGCCTTGCCTTAGGGACCACATATCTTGACTATACCCTTTCATCTCCATCCTCCCCATCACTTCTGATTGGTGAGTGCCTGGGGTGGGGTTGAGGGAGACACCAAATAATTGACTAGCTGTCTCTCTGTACTCCTAGACCCATTCTCAACCGTTGGGACTCCACACCATACTCCTACCCTCTGCTCCAATGGGAGGAGGAAAGTTTACTGCCTCTAAGGAAATTCTGAAGACACAGTGGAGTTTCCTCATACGGTTTGAGTCAAGAAAGTTTAGGTGGATTTGACGCTTGACTTGCTTTGAAAGGGGACAAGCCTTCTCTGGATGGTGAAGCGTGCCTACAGTAGGAAGGCAGCGGCCTGGTGCTCAAGGATGGCCTAAGAATATATGTAACACTTGTAAAAGTTTGTTTTAGGAATGCAGAGATTATCTGCCCTAGGAGGATTGGTTGAAAGCAAGGGTTCTGGGAAGGTGAGGATGCCCGCAGAGGGTCTCCAGGGCAGTGAGGAGAAGGGGTACAAATTACACAGATAATCAGGAAGAAATAGTCAAAGGGAAAAAATTTAAATAACATCAATTACGAAAAAGCAATGGTCTTCTACTATTATAGTGCTGCTATCTAGCTCCACCTGTAATTCATTTAACTTTTCTTTTAAAAATTTAGATGCTATAATATTTGGTGCATATAGGTTCAGTACTGATATTGCTTCATTGTCTATGGTACCTATGAAGATAGACACTGTCTGCATCCAGAGAAAGAACTGATAAATAGAAGTATGTGTAGAATAATTTTACATATATCTATCTATCTATCTATCTATCTATCTATTTGTGTCTAATGGTGGCCATCTCTAGGGTAGAGAGGAGGGAAGAAAAAAAAGAAATTTACATGATAATTTTGTCATATTATTTGGAAGGAATAGCAAGTTGGGCATAGTAGATTTGCACTTTCATGTGCAATTATCTTTTTTATTGTACTGTGTTATGGAAATGCTTGTTTTATTCCATAAATAAAAATAAAATAATTGTTTTTTAAAAAGCAGTGGTCTTTGAGGTCCAAAGAGCCGACTACAAGTCTAAGCTCAGTCATTTACTAGTTATATGACCCTGGACAAGTCTGTTCCCTTCTCTGGGCCTCCATTTCCTCATCTGTAAAATATCTGCACTCCCTTCTTCCCTCCCTTCCAGGGTTGTTGTGGTTCAAGTGCTCTATAGACTTTGTGGGCTACAGAAATGATCATCAGATAAATGCCTGATCTCTCATTGAGGTCGGGACGCTTCCGTCTTGGCTTCTTACCGATGAACTCATTCCGGAGCTGAGTTCGGGCCCTGAGCTCCTCGGTGCCCAGGATGATGGCATTGATGACGCTCAGCAGGGTGATGATGTAGGGAACGTTGTCTGTGTTGGAGAGCTCGTTCATGATTACACTGAAGCGGTACTGCTGGCTCTTGACCACCTAGGGACATGAGGGAGATCAGAGCTCTCACCTGAGTCCCGTTCCCTCCCATTCCCAGATAGCCCCGCTGGCTATGACTTGATGAAGTGACAGCCGCTATTCCTTAGCATCTGACCAGGAAGTCCCTATGGACATTGATAGGGAATCTTCACTTGTGTCCGTCCCATCTGCTCCCTTGGACAAGGGGCTCATTGAGGACAAAGCTCTGTCTCCCTCTCGTACTGGCACAGAGTCCTGCCTCACCTCCTCGGATTGGATGTTCTCCAAGCGAAAGGCTGTAGCTTCCTCTTTCTCTGACTCTTTTCTCCACCCCTTGTCCTGGACTCTGTACATAAGGCTGCCCAGCAGTGGTGTGTGTTTGTGAGTGACTGGGGGTCTCCTGTTGGCACAGAATTCCAGGTAGGAGGTCCCCTGGCCTCTCAGTTGCTATGAGTCCATCACTGTGACTTCCAGGCTCCCTCTGGGCTAACTAGGGGCCAGCACTTTGTCTCCATTTTACCTTATAGTGGTCCAGGGCATCCAGAATTTGCTTGTGGCCTTCAGGGGAGTAGATAGAGAGGGCAGCTAACAGCTCAAACACTTGCTTTTTGACCATCACATTAGATGTGTCCAGAGCTGCAGAGAAAAAGAAGATGAGAATGTGAAAGGCATTCTTTCTTCCCAAAATGCCATATTCACTCTCCCTCCAAACAAGGAAACCTTCCTTGAATACCCTAATCAACAGGGAGCTCTGCCTGACTTCAACTTCTGTAACATTTGCAGTTTAAACCACTCAAGGATCTCAGAAGGCCATGGTTGGAAGGCCCCTTAGAGATCCACTGAGTTCATCTAACACCTCATTTAATAGATGGGGAACCACAGGCCAAGAAAAGGGTGGTGACTTGCCCCAGCTCACCATACAGGCCACACGATACTCCATATTGCTTTCTAATTGTCTTCTGTGTTTTCTCTCCCTAAACCCCAAGTTCTCTGAGGAAGGGCTAGGGTCAGGGGGAGGGCTCTGCTCTTCCTGTCTCTAGAACTCTGAGCTCCCTGAGGGCGGGTGGAGCCTAAGTTTCTTGCTGTAGCTCCTCTCCCACAACTGGGTCAGCTCAAGGCTGTTCTCTCTGCAAGGCTTAGAACAGATCTTCAGGTCTGTCTATTCTGTTTCTTCTTGAGGAACCAGTTTGCCCTGTCCTGGCATAAGCAGTTTTATCGGTCTAGGACTTTAAATCCCAGTCATCTAATAAGCTGTCCTGGTAAAACCTTGGTTCGGCACTGGCTCCAGAAGTCATGGCCGCATTCTGGGGACCCTTTGAAGCCTCAGGACCTAGCACCTTCACCTCGGTCCGTTAGCTCCAGGTTCTCTGGCTGTTAATACCCAGCCCACTCTAAGGATTTTTCTGTGAGAATTTTTCTCTTCCGGCTGGCACATGTAGATGTGTCTGTTTTTTCTTTTTTTTTTTTTTTTAAACTCAGCACCAACTGTTATTTGGATAAATGCAGGCTGGATACTCGACTTTGTCATCCCCCAACCTCATCAGTTTCAGGCACTTCAAATGTATGTGGGGTTTTTGGTTTTTTTTTTTTTCCCTGACCTGCTTTCTGAAGCACTTGGGTAGAAAGAAAAAGTCCTGAATAGAAGTTAACTGAGCCAGGCTACGCCCACGGGCACTTGGGATGCTTCCTCTGTGTCACTTGCTAGATGTCTTACAGCTACTCAGTGGAAAGCATTCAGAGCCTCGGGGGAGGCCATGCAGAGTGGGGCCTTTCTTCCCTCAGGACCCCAACCCCTAAATGTGCTAGGGACCCGGATTACATCAACATTCCAACATCTCTGATCTGGCTATGAAAACTGACTCAAGTCCAACAGCTGAGAAGCCTCCCCGGGTCTTGCCTTTCCTGTCTGTGAAATGATGGGAGTTGGAATGAATGATTCCTAAGGTCTGGAAATTTACATTCTATTCACTTTTTTTCCTAATTAATATGCTATAATATATGTCCTAAGATTCTTCCTTTCCTCAAAGGCAGCTAGGTGACATGGGAGATATAGTGCTGGGTCTGGAGTCAGGAAGACCTGTGTTCAAATCCAGCCTCAGACGCTTATTAGCTGTGTGACCCTGGGAAAGTCACTGAACCTCTCCATTTCCTAAACTGTAAAATGGGGATAATAATAGTACCTACCTCTCAGGGTTGTTGTGAAGTATGAATAAAATAATAATTGTAAAGCATTTAGCAGAGTGCCTGGCACATAGTAAGCAATATATAAATGTTAGCTATTATTATTATCATCACCAGGCCTGGAACTGGGACACACCTGAGTTCGAATCTGGTCTCAGACACTTATTGGTTGTAGGCCTCTGGGCAAGTTACTTTACCTCAGTTTTCTCATCTGAAAAATGGGGATGATACTAGCACCTCTCTCCCAGAATTGTTGTGAGGGTAAGATAATGTAATATTTGTAATATATTTTGCAAAACTGAAAAGGCTATACAAATGTTATTATTGTTTTTTATTATTATTATACAACTCAGGACCTGCTCTCCAGACATTTACATTCTTGTGAGGAAAAAGCAATAAAATTATGAGGTGGTTTTTAAGTCTTAAAGCATGTAGATAAATGCTAGCTATTATCATTCTTTCCAGATCTGATATGGCTGGACGACGTCAGAGAAAACACAGAGCAATTTAAAAATAAGGCCAGAAGAACATTCTAACCTGTGCCCTTGGTTCTGCATTCCCTGGGACCATCCTACTGTTCTGCTCAGTCCTCAAGAGACTTCTGAACGAGGTACAGAATAACTCCATGATGGTAGCACCATCTAGAAAGATGCTGAGGCCATGGTCTATTGAAGGACTGCCTGACTGTCAAAAGCCGGCTTCTGATCATGTTCCTCTACTGCTCAAAACTGGCTCCCTATTGCTGTGGAACAGAGGCAAAACTCCTCAGCTTAGCATTTGATGCCCTTTGTAACAAGGTCCCAAGTCCAGTCTGAATTCCAGTGTTTCTACCTGTGCGGCACTGGGCAAGACACTAACTCTCTCTGGGTTCTTCATCTGTAAGATAAATGGGTTATACTAGTAGATCGCCAAAGTCTATTCCAATTCTAAAATGCTATGATCCTACTATCTCATATATGCCCCCTCTACCTCAGTTAAATTGGGTGACTTGTCATTCCTAGAACATATTCCTTTTTCCCACCTCTGGGTCTTGACTGGTGCCATTCCCTCTGCCTGGTGTGCTCCTTCTCCACAACCCTTCACCCAACTTCACCTGTCAAAATCCTACTAGTTCTTTCTGGCTCAGCTCAAGTGCCGCTTTATCCAGGAAGTCTTCCCTGATCTCCACCAGCTGGAGGTTATTTCTGCCCTAAGCCCGAACAACCCTGGGTCTAACTTTAATGTAGAATGGCTATGATAGCTAGATTGGCAATGCAGGATGGTGGAAGGAGTTCTAGATGGAGTCAGGAGATCTAGGTTCTTAACTTGGTCTGCCACTTATTGAGATTTGGGCAAACACATTCCCTCTTTTGACTGTTTCTTCCTCTAAAATTAGGGGACTGAACTTGATATTCTCTGTGTTTCCTTCAAACCCTCTAGTCTGTGCTTCTGCTGTTACTAGGTATATTCCTAGTAACTGCTCTGCTAGACTATCAGGTCCATGAGGGCAGGGCCTAATTCCTCTATCTCTACCAGATTCACAGATCTTCAAAGTTGGAATGGAGCATCTATCTAGTTTCACTTGTACCTGAATAAGATTCTCCTTCAGCTCTCACTTGCATTCCTCCACTGGTGGGAAATTCACCATGTCCCAAGAGGCACCATGTCCCTCTTGGGCAGCAGCTCTTAGGTTTGTCTTATGTTTAGAGCTGTCCAGAATTTTAGGGACACTGGACAATAATGAGGTCTGAGCCCAGATACCTAGAGTAGCACAGCCCGGGCTGTAGAATATTATAACACTCAGACCTGGGGGGCACTTCAAAGGTCAAGTCTCAACCCTTATTATACTGAAGAGGAAGATGAAACACAAGTAACTCTCATTTATATAGTGTTCTAAGTTTTCTAAAGGGCTTTCTGTACAGTAATCCTTGTGAGGATGTAGTATTTTAATTCCCACATTATAGGGAAGGAAACTGAGGCCTGGATAGGTCAAGCATTTTGCCTATGGTCATATATCTAGTTAGTGTCAGAGTGAGAATTTGAACCCAGGACCCCTGACACTGGAGATGTCAGTGATAAAACAGTCCTTTCTCCACCCCCCCCCCCCGCCAACACTCTTCCTTCGCAGGCTTAGCCACATTTGGAGCTGACCGCCCACTTCCTCCCATGCCCTTGTCCCCTCTCTCCCTGGCCAGCCCCTCAGTGGCAGCAGCCGGCCCTTACCCTCTGAGAGCTTGCACACATAGCCCTGGTTGCTCAGGATGTACTCGATTCCCTGGCGGGCGTTCATGATGGCCCGTACACAGCTGATGCACGTGAGCTGTAGCAGGGCATCTGAGATTCTCGCCACACCCCGGCCTGACAGCCGGGCCAGGGCCTCCAACAGCAGGTCAAGGCCACTCTGCTCCAGGAACTGCACCAGCCAGCCATCATCGCTGCTTTCCAGCCGCTTACGCAGTCCAGAGTAGTTGACCACGGAGGGCATCTGCAGGAGGCGGATGCATAGCTCGGGCTCGGCATTCTCCAGGTTGGCCTCTGTGGGGTCCCCGTCCTGGGGCCCCAGCTTTTCTTTCAGGGCAGCCCATTTCTTCTGCACTCCCTCCTTCCCTGACATCTTGCCAACCTGGGTAAGGGAGGGAAATGAGAAAAAACAGATGTATTAACACAGTGTAGACCCCTGGGTCAGAAGTCAAGAGATGGGAAAAAAGAAGTCTAAGGAAGCAACCCCATCCTACAAGACAAGAGACCTGTATTCTGGTTCCAGTTTCTAGCACTAACATTGCAGTGTCCTTGTGGGCAAGTCACTTGACATTTCATCACAGGATGAATCCTTCTAAGGATCATCTAGTTCAAAACCTTGATTTTACAGATGGGGAAATTGAGGTCCAAATATGTAAGGAAGGAAAGAAGGAAACAAGCACTTACCAAACACCTACTGAATGCCAGGCACTATGCTAAGTGCTTTCTAAATAGTATCTCATTTGAGACTCACAACAATACCAGGAATTAGGTGCCATTATTATCCCCATTTTACAGTTGAGCCAATTGAGGCAGGCAAAGGTTAAGTGACTTGCCCAGGGTCATAGAGGTAAGAAGTGTCTGAAGCCTTAATTTCAGGTCTTTCTGACTCCAGGCTCAGTATGTCTCACTTAGAACTTGCCTAGGATTCAAAAGATCTGAATGTTACATCTGATGTTAAAATTGGATCAATAGAAAGTGGTACCATCTCCCATCTCTGAGCCTTGGCACAGGCCAGGGGTGGGGACCTGCAACCTCAAAGCCACATGTGGCCCTCTAGGTCCTCAAGTGTGGCCCTTTGACTAAATCCAAACTTTACAGAACAAATCCCCTTGATAAAAGGATTCGTTCTGTAAAACTTGGACTCAGTCGAAAGGTCGCACCTGAGGACCTAGGAGGCTTGAGGCTGCAGGATCCCCACCCTTGGCATAGGCTGTCCCCTATGCTTGAAGTGGGCATAGGGGTTCTAGCTCTCTTTCTCGCATTAAGTTGCTGCATGACTTTGGGCAAATCCCTTTTCTTTGCTGGGCCTCTATTTCTTAAAATGAAGGCACTGGACTAACCCCTCTCTAAAATGTCACCCAGCTCTCAAAATACTCAACTCCATGATTCTTTAGCCAACAACGGGCCCCAGGCCTGAGCCACAGGAGGGTCTGACTGTCCTCCCTTAAAGGTCAGGGCTCCCCCAACTGCTTTTAGAAACTGTTGGTGATGCTGCCATTATGCATTAAGAATCAGAGACTTAAAGGGGAACAAAGTGCCCAATGCATGACAGGAAATTTTCATCCATCTGTGAAAGCAGAAAAGTGGGAAAAGGGTTTAATATAAGCTAGGGCAAGGGAATGAACTTGCCTTCCTGGGCAGAAGAGCATCAGTCTTTGAGGGAAGGGAACATATACTTGCTTTTATATGTGTCCCCAGAATGTAGAACAGTTCTTAGCATATAGTAGGAGCTTAACAAATGATTGATGAGTGACTACAGTTTTTACTCAGATAACCTAGAGTTAAATACCCTATCCTGATCCTGCTCATTATTCTAGCTGCCCATTTCTAGCATACCACTTTCATAACAGTGGGCACATATACAATGACAATGCCGGCTGATCCAAGAGGAGGAGAATAGTTTAGGATTTCTTTCCAATTCCCTTCCTATGTATGTCCCATTCAATAAACATTAAGAGTTTACTATGGGCAGGGGAACTGTCACAGTCCCTACCCTCAAGGTGGGTTCAAAGATCTCTGCAGTCATGAAATTAAGAGATGCATGCTTCTTTGGAAGGAATGTTATGGCAAATATGGAGAGCATACTAGTAGGCAGAAATACCACTTTGCCAAGGAAGGTCCACATAGGCAAAGCTATGGTTTTTCCAGTGGCATATGTATGGCTATGAGAGTCGTACTATCAAGAAAGCTGAGCACCACAGAATCAATACTTTCAAATCATGGTGCTGGAGAAGACTTTTGAGAATGCCTTGGATGGCAAGGAGATCAAATCGGTTAATACTTACAAGAAATTAATTTAGATTATTCATTGGAAGGTCAAATACTGAAGCTGAAGCTTAAATACTTTGGCCACATAATGAGAAAACAAGACTCACTGGAAAAGTGTTGGGAAAGACTGAAAGCAAAAGGAAAAGGGGATGGCAGAGGATGAGATGGATAGTGTCATAGAAACAATGAATGTGAAATTGGAAAGGCTTTAAGAGATAGTGGAGGGCAGAAAAGCCTGGTGTGCATGGGGTCACAAAGAGTCAACTACAACTGAACAGCTGAACAACTACCCTCAAGGAACTCACATTGTAATTGAGGGGATTCAATATGCATTCAAATAAATTTGATATAAGGTAGAATGTGATGGGGTCAAAGGAGAGATCTGGATAAAGTGCTCTAGGAAAATAGGCGGGAAGGTGACTGGGGGTGGGTCAGGGAAGGCTTCATGGAGGAGGAAGAAAATTGTTTCAACGGGTAAACAGAAGGATAGAGTGTGTTCCAGGCCTAGGCAATGGTTAGCCTGTGCAAACAGGCAGAGATGGAAGAGGACAGCATGAGGTTAGGAGTAATTGGGACTGCTGAAAGATAGGTTGGGGCCAGAATGTGGAAGTCCTCTTGAATGCTGGGCTAGGAAGCTTGTATTTTTCTTATACACCACAAGGCACTGCTGAAAGTGCTTGCAAAAGATCAGGCACGTACAACATCAGGAGCAACCATTTAGCTTCCATGTATGCTCAGGGAACTACGATTCACAGATCATTTTCCTGTCCTTTTTCCCAACCTGAGGGTTCCTTCACATTTTGGATTATGGAAATGGATATTCCGAAGCAAGGGTGGAAGCCCACGGGTGGGATATCTGAAAAAGGCAATTCAGCCTTGTGGAAAGAATACAGAGCCAGGAGGACTGGGTTGGAATGCTAGTTTTGTAATTTACTGCTCATTTGCCTTTAGACAAGTCATTTCCCTTTTCTGGGACTCAGTTTCTTTACCAGCAATATAAGGAGGTGAAACCGAATTGTCTCAGAGATCCCTTCTAGCTCTAAATTGGTAGCCCCCGATTGTAGGCTGATGACTGCTGTGACCGGAGTCACTGTCCCTTCTTCATTGAAGATAATTGTTCCTATTGTTAGCTGGATCTCCCCGGTCCATATACAGTCTAGCCAGTGGCCCCTCAAAAGCACCTGGTTCTTATGACTGATGGACCTGAGTCACTAAAAAGGAATGTCCTGGCTGGTCTGTGGGGTGGGAACTTGGCTCAGGCTGAGGCCCAGGTGTTCCCATTGAAACTGGCCCTGCCCTAGGGCTCTGTTGCTGGAAGCAAGGAGAGACCAGGGTTTTAAGAGGGAAGATTTCTGTATCACACAACATGATATTGATCTGAGCACTGTCCTCACCCAAAAATAAGACACCCAATCCAGCCAAAGGCTGTTTTCATCTCTTCTCCCCAAAAAGGCTCTGGACCACTTGTCCAGTGAGACTCTTGAGGGGGAGGGGAGAATGTGGACAGAGGGAGGAGCTCCCAGTGTCCATCAGGGAGGGCCCAAGCACCGAGTCAAAATCTGAAACAGGCTTCTGTGGGTCAAAGTCCAAAGGTGGGGAGGAGGAAAAAAAAAAACAACAATTTCCTTATCACTGCCTAGGCAAATACACTTTTTTCCTCCTTTCCCAAACTTTTAGTAGAGTTTAGAGGAGAAAGGTTTTTTCCCCCTCTGGGCCTTGGAAATCATCTCTAATAGAACGGGGGTAACCAAAATTCCTCAAGTTCCTTCTACTTCTAAAATGTATAGTTCTGTGAAAACTTCACCTCCCCCACAAAGGTTTTCTAGATTGACCCCACCTACTTGAGTCACTCCACCAAAATTCCGTAGGATTTAGGCATGTAACCACAAGATATAAAGTACAGTAACAGTCTCGTTAATATTTATTGATTCTTCCTACCTGTGTGACCAGGCAAAAAAGGTGAACCAGTCACATGGCCCCAGTGAGACAACAGCTGGACAGTTACAGTTTTGAGTAGAACCTCTCTGGGTGAGAATCACACAGGATGAGGAGGAGGGGTGGAGAGGCTATGAATTGCATGGGTGGACTGTTTACCTAAGGGAGATCAAGATGTCCTCAAGGACACAAAGTCCATGACTCTAGGGGGTAAGAAAAAGCTGTTTTCTTCCTTCTCTGATCCCAGGGTTCCTGGGGAGTAGAGTTCTGTCTCATATCAGACAGGGGCTCCTGAGGGTTCAGTGTGGTCTTTCTGCCTGGACACAGAGTTAAGGATTGTCGCTCAAGGCAATTTTTGTAGTCCATTCGCTCTCCTCCCACAAATGCTTCCCATGACAAGTTCCTGAGTCCTCTAGTTCTCTCTTCCATCCCATCCCCCCTGCCGTGACTGTTCTTTTTTTGAGAAACTTTTGATTCCTGTGTTCTCCCCCTACCCCCTCCATCAGCCCCCAAACTATCTGAACATGGGTACCAGACTGCCTTCTCCATCTGCCCCAGTTTTCTTTGGTCACGAACATTCCTGACTCACAGGAAGTCTCTCCCCATCCCAGGCATCTGTGGGAGTAATTGGAGGACAAAAGTCTACAGGTTCTGATTCTGGCAAAAAGTCACTGTGTGACCTTACTCAAGTCCTTTCCCCTTCCTAGGCCTGAATCAGCAAAATGAGAGGCTGGACTAGGCCCCTCTTAAGGTGCCTTTCTGCTCTGACCTCTCGAGAGACTTTACTCTCATTAGTACTTATCAGAGCCTTTTCTGAATTACTACAGCATTCTAGTGTTCTGGGTGGGTATCTTGCCTCTCTAACCATATTCTGAGCCTCCCAAGTGGAAGATCCAGAATCTTTTTCCATCCCCTCACAGCGGAGCAGCTGGACAAATAAAGTGGGAGAGGGAAGGTCAGCCCATTGAAACTGGGTCATGGCACAGGCTCAGTGCAGGTGTGGAAGGGATATCCCAGCAAGTCTTCACATACTGCCTAAGGCTCCCAGCTGGCATCTGATTGGCCCCAGTCCGTATAGGCTTGAGAGGGAGGGAGAAGCCCAAGTCTGTTTTTGTTTTTCTGTGAATTTTTTTTTTAAAGTTTCTTAGAGCAATTCAGGTCAGAGGATTTTTCCCATGA